CACAAGCAGTTCAACGCAATAGAGAGAGAGAACGGGTGCTCGATTGCTTGCGAATCATGCTGCTTTCTCGTCTTTGAAGCCACATTAATAATGAAACCGGAGCTTAGCACTCATTCTCCGTTGATTAGGTACATAATCATAGATCAAGCTCAGTGTAGATTCCAATGTCACGTAATAAAGGTGACCTGAAGTTGCACTATGCGTCACAACATGCTGCAGAACCCAATTCTATGCCTTCATACCGTCATGCTCGTTTAATGCGAACGTTTGTAGATTGGACTACAGAAACAACATTAAAGACCGAGAATTATTTCATTCTTCCGTTCGTTAGTAACGCCCTTCGTTATGCATTCTTCTGTTCTTTGGGAGCAGGTCACGTGAGTTTTGTAGCATGAATTAACATAAATTGCTGTTTCTATTTTACCACAGTCACCGAACGGTGTACTCTATAAACACATCACCTGCATTAAACTTTGTGCCAGCACAATGTATACAATCCTAAATTACGTCAAAAAAATACGGGTTTCACGCAAAGAATTTCCTAATGCTTCGTTAGATATTCAACCGTTAAATTTAAAAATAGCTCCACCGTGAACGGGATTAACTCCATGACCGAATTTCACTGCGAAAAGCGCTCGAATAACTGCACCTTGCAGGTATGCAATATACATTGCATGAGGTTTTAGATGTGTGGTGACATCATTAGTTCAGGTTACATTGGTTTTGTAGAATTAGCTTTTTAGTCACGTTCACTGTGCTTTTTAATGTTAATATTTCACCTCATCAGTCATTTAGTGATGGCCATTCATTTCCACATCTTCAATGAGAGTTATAAATAGTTGATATCCAAGCATTTTTTTAAGATATAAGACTGGTTTTTATCAAAGGACCAACCCTTGAACGAGTTCCGGGGAGGGGGGAGATATGAACAGTCTTATAATTTGAAAAATAAAATTTTTGGCTTTACAAGCCGGAACGTCAATACGACAACAAGGCACGCCATCGTGTGAGGTTTTAAATATTCGGAACCATAGGTCGGCAAAATAAATGGAGCCCACATAGACTCACTCAGTAAATGCTCTTTTATCTTAGGACTCGTTATAGGGCCCAGCCTATTGCCGGAATTTCGGTCACATATAGTTGACCAAAAACATTTTTCTCTGCAAAACATTTTCGAAATAGACTGCTTTCAATAGAGTAAATCAGCCCAACATTTTTCGAATACACCTGAGATAGTCGCCAAAACGCCTTGGACGTTTGGCGTGGAATGACCAATCAAACTTTACGTCAATACCTATCACTTTTCGTCTCCACTGTCTCTTTCCAAGTTCGTGTTCTTCCTTTCTTGACATTCAACTTCACAGTAATTTAACAGATCCGCAGCATATTGGTTCTATAGAAGAAAATAGCTTGTGGTATACGCATCTCAAATCAAACTTGGGCGTGCACTTACGCCCCATCTCACTGTTTTGTATCGATCATTTCAGCGTTCTCATTTCACTTACGGTATTGCCACGTGGTTGCGACGTCAAAGAAGATGGTACATGGGTTGCTCAAGACGACACTTTTTATTGAGTGAACATGTGCATAGGAAAGTGCAAAGTACTAGAAATTCGTGCTTTACACAGATAGCGGTAATCAGATCTCTGGTCGTTGGTAATATGATCTGCGCGAAGGTACGTCGCCATTTATACACGTAGCATCCATATCGTAGGTGTCTCAAGCTTATCAGATGATTCCAAAATAATCTAGAGTTTTCGCAGACAGCCAAGCGTCCTTTGCACAAGGCAATTGATTAATATGTAGTGTTTAACGTTTCAAAACCACCACATGATTATGAGAGATGCCGTATGGTGAAGGACTCCAGAAATTTTGGCAACCTGGGGTTCTTTAACATGCATCCAAATCGCAGCACATGGAGCTACAGCATTTTCGCCTCTATCGAAAATAAAGCAGCTGCAGGTGGGACTTGATCCCGCGACCTGCGGGTCAGCAGCCGAGTACCTTAGCTACTGAACCACTATGGCAGTGCCTTTGCGCAAAACAGTGACATAAAAATACAAGCGAGCGTGGCAGTATAATATTGTTGCGATAAAATTTCAGCAGATGCAACATGTTTCACTGTGGATGCCATTTTCATACAGAACCGTCAGCGGGTGGCCACGCGTTGGAAGGTGGATCGACGTCTTTGGGTATTTTGAGTAGGCTAAATTTCTACCTAAAACATACGGCGTGACGACAGCACTCACGTTGACTGTAAACTTTAACGAAACGAAGTGCACGCTTCAGTGGGATGATATGCATATTCAGGCTGATATGCATATTCAAGAAGCTGTTGTGTATTTCTCAAAGGTCGAGATCCTCAGTGGTCAAGCAACCCTTCCCTTTCACTTGCTGGGTGAAAGGAATATATTCATGTAATGTTTACAGCCAGCCTATAGACCGCAACAACAACTAACGGTGCGGGCCGACATCACTCGTGTAAGTCTATTTAGTGATGTATCCGTTACAGTAAAAAGTAACTAAATACCTCACTCGTTACTCTAATAAGAAAAAGGGGAACGTTTCACGGCTCCACGTTATATGAATACATAAAAAAGGTAACGCATTACCGTTACCGTAACCGAAAAAAAACATAACGAATGTTACCTCTGCCGTAGCTCCGAAGTCACCAGTTTTAATCAATGTGTCTTTGCTGCAGAAACCCACAAGGAGAATTTTTAAAACTCAACTTTATGTTTCACACATACTAACCCAAGCAAGGATTATACTCAAAATGTTCAATTAACGAGAATTATTTGTACAAATGTACTGAATCTTAGCAATGTTATATATAAGCTTATTGATGCCTGCACATGTGATGGCTTCTGACTCTGCAGTGACACAGGATGAAACCATTTTTTTCATTTGGAGGATTACACTCAAAGTGAAGTTAAATAATCCACGGTATTCAAGAAGAAACTATCACTGTACTCTCAAGAAATTTACAAATATCGGCCTTTTCTTGATCCTTCAGCACCTGCAATAAAGCAAGTCGAAATCGGCACTGTTGGTCCTAGCCACCAGAATGGCCCGCCACGCACCAGTAGGCAATCACGGAGGCCTACGGAGGCCTACATTGGTGACTTTTTATTAGAGAGGTGGGGGGTGGGGGTTCGGGAAATGTCGTGGGGAAAAGGGGGGGGGGGGGCACTTGCAAGTTTGTGACACCAGATGTGCCTTGCAGAGTTGTAAGTCCAGAAAAATCACGTCTTGCAACGCACATCTTGCAATAGCAGCCTTTTTTTAATATGTTGCAGGTTTTATTTTTGTTTATATAAGAATTTAAATCATGCCTAGAAATTAAATATACAAACAAACATAGGTCCCAGCACTCGTAATTGCATTCTTCTATTGAGTCTTTTCCGGAACAAGTCGAGAGTGGCTGTTGCTATTTCGATTGTCTCACACATCTTATGGGTATCGAGCACGTGTACACGCTGTAAAAAGAAAGCATTGGAAAGTTGAATGTTTTATACATACTTATCAAGCATTCTTATTTGTGACGTTTTTAAGAGAAATTTTAATGGGGCCCACTTGCAAGGGGTGTTCCCCTCCCCTGACCAAACACCATGGGGTCGGGGAGTCAACGTTCTCTGCAGGCGTGGTCAACGGACACCGAGCTCGTGACCAGTATGGGCTGTGTACCTGAGCAAATATTGCATTTTCTCTCATCTGCACATATGACCATCGACAGGTTTTTGTCTTGGGGGATGCAAACCCTTCTTTCAACTTGCATCACGACTCAGGGAGCGGGTCGTGTTGGTGTCGCTAGAGTGGGTAGCAAGTGCTGATGGAGCTTGAAGGGGTCAAGTGTTCATGTTGCACCACCCGCCTCGCCCACGTCCATGTCTACACTTCATTCATTGAACACCCTGCTGAGAACTAGTTGAATAAATGCGCAGATTTGTTTCCTTCCGCATCCTATACTACTGCATAAAAGTTTCTCACATTGTGAAAAGAAGGTATTTTGATTCGTTTGAAGGAAAGTTACATTAAAAGCATGACAGATACTCAGAAAAGCGGTTTCATGCAATCGCAACAAGAAAACTTGAAGCAGATGTGCTTCTTTATTGTGCAGCGTACAGTGTAAAAGTAAGATCGGATTCGGAAAAAGCGAAATGAGTGACGTGCGTCACTGCTTGCTCATTGTTCAATGAAAGAAGGTTTCATAAAGTATGACGTAGCCAACAGCAGCAACAAACTGCTGCATCATAAATTTTAAAAAAAAGCAAAGTGCTGCACATTTACGGTATAACATGGACATATATTGAAATGCGCGTTATTTTTTTATGAAGGCAAAATAAAAACTACTTTACAAAACGCTTTGCATTCATCGGGATGTCGACACATCTGTGTAGTGTCATTTATGCTTTTTGGATGAAAATCCCTGAATTTCAACGAATTCAGTAACCTGTGGCATAAGAGCCTTTTGAATTTTCAGTTTCGGTTTCTGCGCCGCCGCCGCCGCCGCCGCCGACGAAAATTGGCCGCACGCCGCCGCCGATGAAAAAACCGGCGTGCGCCGACAACGTCGCCGCCGCCGACTCTGGACGACCCCCACGCCGCCGCCGGTCGAAATCGCTTCGGCGCACACCTCTATGCCTACCTTAATTAAAAAAAAAAAACGAGTTCACAGCCCCATTTCTGCCTTTTACGTCAAAATATCTTTATTTTTCTAACTATTTAGTTTTACATTTTTTTTGGGGGGGGTTTTCAATCGCCAGAACGTTAACTGTGTCTTACCTATTTCTATTCTAGTTCACTCTACTTGTTTCTGACGCGGGCGTGTTCAGATTTGTATTGCTGTTCCGCAAAACCAAGACTCCATAGAGTTTTGTAATGTTCATTTTAGTAAACTTTATGCAAGATTCCTCTAAGTTTTGTATGGCTACTTACTCTAGCGGCCCTTCATTCAAAAAGTTCCCAATGAAGCAACAGCAGCTTAGCAAATAATGAGCGATCCAACGCAAGACGAGTCAATCCGGTTTGTGTTTTGTTCGCCGAGTTCGAGTTTAAAGTTTTAGGTTTTAGTAGTCGTGGTTACAGTGAACTACTATCGTGTAAACCCAAAATTTTAGAAAGCATACGGTGACTTTGAGGCTTTAACAAGTAGCCTCCCTACGCACCGAAGGTATTTTCCACGTGTAGTAGTACTTATCCTTGTTTAAGTGCGCCCTGTTTCAGCGTGTGTACTTTTATTACATGTTGACAATGGCCAATTTTCAGGACCAGTCATCTGTAGTCACGTTTTCGGATGCCGTTTCAATTGTGCTGGCTAAAAATACGTGTTATATAATCCGGTGAAGGGCGCGCGAAACTTTGCGTTAGCGTTTCTCATGCGTCGTACGCTAGCACTTTGCGGACTTCTGTTAAGTTGACGTAAATAGGTCTGCAGTTCTGCTGGTACGAAAGGTCAAAATATTGTAGACAGCCCCACAGAGGCACCAACCACATCCCACCCTGTCACCATTGCCGTTCGATCGATCGCGCGCGTGTGTGTGAGTGCGTGCGCGCGCACATGCATGTGTAACACATTGCTCTATAGGGAGATCTCATATTTCATACGAACAGCTTGCAAACTTGTGTGTAACTGTCGCTTATCTTTCAAAGTGCCTGGTCTCACTGCCTCACCAGTTCATTGATATTTTCTTTATGCAGGCAAAATGTTGGGCAGCAGCACAACCACTTCCTTCACCTTCGGCACCCCTGCCGCTGCCACGACATGTGCGTTTCCTAAGTTTGTCTCCTTAGCATGCATCGTACTTGTTTTAGGAGCAGAGGTTCACTGAAATGCAGACCTGTCAAGCAGCGACGTTTCTTCTACGATTGATCGGGGCTATTTTTCGGACAGGGTGAAAAATAATGAAGTGAGAATTTGACATTAAATGATGCACCTTTGTCTGTATTGACTGCAGACTGAGCGCGAGCCCACACCTCATGCGTGGATGACCAGAGCACTCTCAGAAAGGTTGCTGACTGATAAGCAGTCTCGGGCGACTGCTTGCTCATAGCAGCGACTCCTACGTTGTCAATTTTTCACACTTCAGTCTCTTAACGCAGTTGGGAGTACATGCAATACACTGACTCAGTTCGTCTATTTACTAGCTTTTCTGAGCAACATTGAAGTACAAAACGAAAGTAACTAAGAAATATGTTAATTAAAGCCAACAGACATGAAAGCCAAGGAAACTTATAGGGGATGTCAATTGCAGTAACTGTGAGGTAAATATAAAAAAAGGTAAAGTAGATGAAAAGATAACTTGCCACAGGCAGGGGCCAAACCTGCCACCTTCAAATAATGTGTCTGATGCTCTATTAATGGAGCTACAGTGGTGGACATCCCCCGGTCCACTTTATCGGGTATATAGGTGCATTTAATGTGAGACTTAAATCAGGGGTGCTAGTAACCATAACGGCGAGTGAACACTTTTTCTGCTTATTGGCTTCGCAAGGCACGTCATGCTTTTACGAGCTTGCAGCTGACCTGTATCCCTCGTATACTGCCATAAGGCATCTACTCTGCCAGAACGAGAACCTCTCTGTAAATGAACAAAAAAAAAGAGGACCTTTAAGGGCTCATTTATCTTCGTTAGACACAACTTTAATTAGAACTAGCAGATAAAAGAACCAAAAAAAGTACCGGGCATGTTGATTGTAGTGGCTAAAATGTAATGAAAGAAAAGTGGGCAAAACGATAACTTGCCACTGGATGTAGGAAGCTCGAATGGATGAAATAGGAATGTAAGCAGCTCAAAACAGTTCTGACACGATGTTTTGATTGTGATGCACGAAGTGCTTTGTGAAATTTGCGATTTTTATAGATAGTAACAAGACACCTAACTTCTATTTATCAGCAACAAAAAATTCATTAGTGGGTATGAGGCAGTGGTTAACAAAACACCATTGCTTTCACCATTGTACATCTTTGCCCACATTTAAAAAGAATGATCAAGACTCGTGTTAGCTCGACACTGTGAATGTGTGCACTAATTCTTTTATTTTTTAATGGAACTGCACACAATGTCCTATTTAACTGAATGCTGATTTATCAAAAGTATCAAGCAAACAATAAACAAACTCTGTTACAATAATACAGTTTTGTGTGTGTGTGTGTGTAAGAGCAGTGTAAAAGTTGCCATTTTCGTCATCCCGCAGCTTCATTCTTAAGGCGACCGTTGTGCTATACTCTCTTATTTAATTGGCCCAAATCTTTCTCTGCACTACCACTATGCACACATAAGAATAGTTGTTCTTCAGGTAGAATCGCCTGCAACTGATATTTCATGTATCGTGATGTAGCAAATGAGTTTTATGTCAGCATGCCAACCGTGGCTGAAAGCCCTTCATATTCAACAGCTTCCGCCATGTTTGAGTTTTGCAACATTGTGCATGCATTACATCCAAGTTAAAATCAAGCTGCTGAGTTCTGCTCACAGGTTGATGAAGTTGTGGTCACTAACTGATTAGGATAGCTATTCAGGGAACACTGCCTCATTTCACTTGTCTGAAAATGCGGTTTACACTCTCTTGCGCTCCGTGGATAGTCCGCGCTGCCGGATTGTGGCTGAATGGGACTGTATGAACGCGAGTTTTACGCCATCGAACAGTGCATATGCTGGTGAGCACCAGGGAACACATCTGAAATATCTGATTTCTCAAGTTAACGAGGGTCTGATTAGTGAGCATTTGCTCTTTTGTTTCTGAATGCAAGAATGGATGAGTCCCCTAATGTTACTATTCTTAAGCAGTGCTGAAGACAAAGGTTCGGTGGTCAAGATGCTCGAATGCTGAGCTGAAGGTTGCGAGATCGAATCCTGGCTGCTGTGGCTGCATTTTGATAGAAGTGAAATGATAAGAGCCTTGTGTACAGGTGCGTTTTAAGGAACCCCAGTTGGTCTAAATTTCTGGAGCCTGCTGCTACGGTGCCCCTCATATTCGTGGTTTTAGAATGGGAAGCCCCAACAGTTATTGTGAACATGAGATAAAGTAGGCCACAGGGGAGGGTGCTGACATGTCGTCTGTGCTGTCCCAAGCGAAGTGTACCCATTCAGCATGTTAGCAATGATATTTAAGAAGTGGCTTTTTTCAGTTAGTGTTACAAATGACACGCTGTGTAAAGTGGCTGCTAATCTTGCGTCTACTCATCACAATCAGCGCACAAAAAAAGAACACGATAACACAATGAAGTGCACGACAGTGTCTTCAGGTTTATTTTTTGTGTGCTGATCGTGATGAGTATGTTTGAACTAGCCCAATTTGCGCTACTTTGCTCGGGCTTCCAGCATTTTCCTTTGGGACAAACAAGCCATCCACTACGTTCAACTTTGGCACGCCACAGCCATTGACGGGCTTGACATCCACACCGGCCACTGTCACTGCAGCGCCAGCCACCACCACCACTGCCACAGCTGGTAAGACTACAGCATTTTGCTCTATTAAAAACAGTGATTGAAGGATAGCAAAGTGGGATTACTGGCCTTCTATAGTTTCTAAGTGGTACTGTACAAATAAACAAAGAAAGAACAAAGCTCTTGTTCTTGCCTTTTTTTTATCCTTATTTTGCTTTGCACCGTACCGCTCAATATTTTCGTAATTGTAGGAAGCCTGCGACACGCATGTTGCACATGAAAAGGTGTCAGACTTGCAATGTGTCGATGTTTTTGAACTCTTTAAGGCTCAGTGTTTAAATTTTTTCTACAAATGGCAAACCTGGTCTTATTGGCGCTTACATGGCATCACTACACACACCAAGACTTACGTATAACTTCTATTCATAAGGCTAGTTGTGGACAAAGGAAACACAGCACTGGCCAAAATAAAAATATATTCTCAAAAAGGCGTTCTTAAAGAGACGTTTTGGCTCTCATAATGGAGCTGAAACAACTTTTTAAGAATGTATTTTCACTATAGTCGGCATTGTGTTTCCATCGTCTATGTTTTTCCACAGCCAGGTGAGTGTCTGGCAAACTTTAGACTTTAAGGCTAGTTGTGATGATGTCAGTATGAAAAATAAGCAAGGGGTGTGGGGAGACATTATTAATAGCTAATGACCCAAATTGAGTTCAAGTCATACAGGGTATATATCATTTATTTTTTATTTATTTAAGAATTCCTCATAGGCCCCAAAAGAGGCATGATGTTGAGGAAAACTGCCAGTTAGCAACAACGTGCCAAGTGGAAATGGACAGTCTAGGAATTATAATGACAGAATCGTGCTTTCTCTTCACAATTTGAACAGGGTTCGTATTTTGAAATTGCCATTAGAAGCAACAAAGGCTAGCGTACGTAGTTGCTCGGTGGACAAGCCTTGGCACTGCCCAGAGGAGTAGTACGGATCGTTGTTTGTAGTCTGCTATTGCTGAGGTGCACTACAACTTGTGCTAAAGTCTATATGCTATTAGATACCCCTGCTTTATTCTATGCATTACCCGCCGTGGTGGTGCAGTAGTCACGGTACTCGACTGCATACTCGATCGTGGAATCAGGTCTCGGCCTTGGCGGCTGCATTTTGGCGGAGACAAAATGCTAAAGGTCGCTTGAGGTTTGATTTAGGTACACGATGAACAATCCCCAGGTATTCAAAATTTCTAGAGCCCCCCACTAAGCAGCCTTCATATTCCTATCGTGGTTGCGAAATGTAAAACCCCAACAATTATGCTGCGCTTCTTAGGAGAAGAAAGGGCCAAAGTTGAGGAGCGGCAACGCCTTCACAGTAACTGGTGGGACGAAAAGCCATGTTGAGTGGTAATGCGTGCATGGGGATCATGGAAGCACAAACCAGTGCAACACTACCTTGATTGATAGGGTCTCACTCGTTTGCTACAGTATGATTGCTATCATGCTCGCGTATCACATCTTGCTGCGTATGTTACGTGTACAACCTCATTTGCACTGCAGATCAGAAAATTATGGCAACAAATGTTTCATGGAAATTGTTTATGTTTCCATTCCATAAATAGACTTAGTGATTAGCAAGCTTCTTGCTGCACACAGGTGCTACAAAAACTTTGTTTCAGTGCCTTCAAATTTCTATAGTTTTCTATGTTCTCACCCTAGCAATTTTTAAACTAACAAGGTACTTTCTTTTTTAGTCATTGGTATTTTGTTTGGAATCGTAAGTGAAAAGATTGTGCTATCAGGAACTAATGCATTTTTATGCCTTCACACTAGTAATTATTTGAATTTCTTTGCTTGTAAAAGCTGCGTTCTCTCCAAAAGTTATGCCTGGTACATTTTATAGCGTCAAGCAATCACATCGACTTGTTGGGGCCATTTGATTGGTAACAACACTTTAATTAGTAGCAAATTTAGTTGTTGTTGAGTGGTATCAACACCATGCTAAAATGGCGTTTCTGTAGATTCGTAGGTTTCAAAACTTGTGGCCATGTTAGGGGGTTATTACCTAATAATAAGTGCAACTACACTGTCCTATAAACTAAACAAAAATTATCTAAGAGAATGAAGTTTTGGCAGCGTACAGCCAAAACCTTGTGGTCAATAGTTCAGTTTGGTTGTTGGCATCTTCCTCGTAAGTTAATCTAAACAAAGTGCCAAAGAAAAAAAATTACACATTTTTCAATTTATGGTCAGTGTCTTCTGTCACGAGTGTATTAACTGGGAATCTGCAGCTTTTCAAGCAGAGATTTCAAACGCCATGGATTACGCTATCAAGCCCCGTGGCGGTTGTCTAGTGGCTAAGGTATTTGGCTGCTGACCCACATGTCGCGGGATCGAATCCTGGCTGCGGCGGCTGCATTTCCAATGGAGGCGGAAATGTTGTAGGCTTGTGTCCTCAGATTTGGGTGCACGTTAAAGAACCCCAGGTGGTCAAAATTTCCGGAGCCCTTCACTACGGCGTCTCTCATAATCATATGGTGGTTTTGGGACGTTAAACCCCACATATCAATCAATCAATGGATTACGCTATCACATTCTTGAAGGTGAAGCTCAAGTTAAGTTTTTGTTTTGGCTTTCAAGCACTTTTCCATAGCAAAAGTACTGTTTTTGGTACGAAAGGGTAGTTTCCCCTTAACCCATTGCCGCATGCTTATCAGCTGCTGCACTACAGGAGAAATTTCAGTTTGATGATTCGCAATTTCTTCTTTGGAAGCTATTACTCAAGCACCAGCACAGGCAGCTGGCACTGTGGCATCATCTTCCACGTGAGTAGACTGTTGCAACATTCTGTGCCAATATTAGTGGCACCCAAGTGTGTCTCTTTTTTGAGGCTGTTGCTTCTGTAGCTTCTTTTAAAAAGGCCTTGACAAAAAAGTACCGCATTTGGACTATGCGTTGCATGTTATATGTGTGCATATCAGAGTGGTCGTGTAAAATTCGAGTCACATTTTCTCTAACAGGAAATTGGTGTTAAAATTTGTTAGCTGCAGAACCCTGCAACTAAATTTAAAATGTCTGTTCACGAATTTCTTTTGAATTTAACAAATGCTTTGTTAAAGTTTTCCATACTTCTGTCATTTGTCTCCATTTTGCAACATGCATTGTCTTTTCTGGCTTTCCACATGTGCTTAGTTTTTCATGCACAGTCTTATTTGCTGTTTGGCATGTGTGGGTTCCCATCGTTTTAGAGGACCGGTGCAGAGTTCTGGGTTTTGCCCAATTTGTGTGGCACATGTGTTTTTGTTGGTGCACAGCCAAAATTAATGGCACCCTGGCCATATACTGCTAATAAATTAAAGTAATATTGTTTAAGGATTCTCGTTATTTGTGGGTCGCACCACCACTGCGAAATCACACAAAGATACGGGATGTTGTGTCCAGTTCAGATCTCCGCTTGCAACCTCATGTCTCGCTTTTCTACATTCTGTCAGCTACCACTGAAAATTAGGTTATATGCTACAATCCACTTTTAAAGGGAGTACACAAGGGCGCGGCTGGTGGTCGGGGGTGCGCTGGCCACTGGCAAGATTTGGGGGTACAAAGCATGCGCAAAGTCGCAAGCATTGTATTGAAACAGATCAAGAAGTGAAAACAAAAAACTTTTTTTTTTACCGGAGCAAAAATGTAATCAAAACATTATCTATTATTTTGTTGCGTGGTGAAGCCGAAATTTTTTCAATCGTTATTCTGTTTATGAAAGTACTTGGACATCCGTAATTACCAAGGTTGTGCAATGTGAGCAGTAGTAATTATCTTGGACCACAGGGCTAGCATGTATCTCAGGCAGGAATTCCAAGGTAAACATGTGTTAAAATTGTGTGAATAGCGGAAACAGTGGCAATCATATATCTGCCGTAAGTGGACTTTCGTGTTTCTGTGACGCATGCCAGAGTGTAGAAGGCATTCTCGACACGGAAGTTTGTTACATATATTTACATATATGTCTCGCATATGGAGAGCTATGCGCTAAATGACAGGCTGCTTCTTAAATCATGCTCACTTCCTTGACGTGAAGCATTGAGCCTTCTAAAAGAATTCCTAATTTATTTTTGAGAAAGTCTGCTAGCTTAGAAAGGCACTGATTTGCACTGATTTGTAGGAATTGGTGGTACAGTTAGCTGTGCCGCCCTTAAGTAAACTTTCCATAAACTGGGTGTGCTAAGTCCCTTGCTCTGTTAGAATACGCTGTAACAAATTTTCACCAGTAAAAAATTGTGTAGGATTTAGGAGAAGCCATCCAGATATGTTATCTGAGTCATTTGGTGCAAAAACGAGCTTTGAACATGAGAGCACTAAAAAGCTCATTTCGCAGAAATTTCGTTGACGTCATTTGTGAGTGAAAAATAATTATTTTGTCTGTGACCCAAAAATCAAGAAACATGCTAATAAAATAAGTAATAAAAATCTTTGGTTCGAATGGGAATCAAACCCAGTACATGCGCGGATCAAGCAAATGTTTTACTGCAGAGCCACAGCATTGAGGGAAACTGTTTTGGGGGGAAAAAAAAAACACTACTGCTATACGAATGTCAGGTAGCGGGAGAGGTCTCCTTGACACATGTAATATCGCATGACAGAAGCATAGAATCGTTCCAGGTGTGAGAACATGTTAATTGCACATTGAGTGGGTGTTTTTAAAGGCCCACCGACTGCAAAGCACTCACTTGTATTTAATCATCATCAGCAGCAAAAGCATAATGAAGTAAGCAGCTGCATATAGGTTCAAGTGTTTCTTTACAAACATGCATTGTGCCCTTGACTGATTCACAAAAGGAAGAGTTAGGGCGTAGCGGGCACTGAACAATTACATATACTCGCAGTATGCATTTTAGGATTGTTTATAACAACTGATGCATTGTCGTTTTTTTTTTTTACTGCGTGATTGAGACATGCACCGAGAACTGAAGCTAGGCCAGCAATTGAGAAAGCGAAAGCGATGTGTATAGGGCCGGTTACGCTGTCGCGTTCTACTCTTCGAGACAGAGCTCAAGCGTCCTCGCAAGTGTTTTTTTATTTTTCTTCTTCTTTTTCTTTCTTTGTTTCTTTCCCCAAACACCTCCCCAACTTAGAGTGCCGTGTTTTTGGTCTGAAGGGGTAGTTCACTCTTAACCCCTTGCAGCAAGCATTATGATTGGCTGTCCGCAAATTTGTTGTATTTACAGAATTTGACACCAGGCTTCTGTAGACTGAATTAAAAGGAAATAGAAGTGTTATAATAGACTATGGTGTATTTTTCAGCAGTTAATTGTAATAGCAACGTGACCAATTATCCAGATACTTATCCTACAGTCAGTCATGCTATATTTCTTCATAAACCGAATTCAGTGGCCCCCTTGAATAGCATGCAGTAGGTATTGGCTGGCAGCAATCATTCTTAATGAAAAAGGTATACTTTGAAATTCTTGCTGAAATGCCCCTCATGCAACGTGTCATTAAGCACAGTATTGTCTTCACCTAAACGATCACGTGTAGCAGAATATTTCAACCAGCTGTACTGTAAAGTAACGTCTAGCAACAAGAATGCTTAATTTATCATTAGCTCAGTGTTAATGGTCTCTTCCTTGCCAAAAATGCACAGAAATGGGCAAAGTTAAGTCGAGTCTCTTATAAAGATGCTGTGTCACAAAGGGATGATATAGCAAAATTGTCTTTCTCTTTAGCATTGCTTTAAATCATTCAGGCCATATGAATTATAGCTAGCTCTGCATTAGCTTTTAGCTCCTTCTCTTTTTACTTCAGGTCATTATGCAATGGAATGGGCTGCCGAATACTATTGTTTCAGGCACTCATTGCAACAGTCCTTCAAGCAGTGCTAAATGATTTTTCATAACATGAACTAGCTGTTTCTTTCATAGCTCCACATTAAAACATTAATCGTACATTGTGCAGTTTTGATATCTACTGTTTATATTCATTCACTGCTGCATTGTCTGTTCATGCTAGATTACAATGAATATCTGTTGGAAGCTTTTGAAAGTTTTGCCAAGTATTCTATAATGTTTTCTTCATCTTTTCTGTTGTTTGTTTTTTGCATGTTTAACTAGAGCGGTTAATTGTAACTCGTGAAATAGCCCTCCCTCCCCTCTTTTCATTTTAATGTGCTGAGTCTTTGGGCCCAGTTAAATAAACTGAGTGAGGCGAAGCAATAAGGCGATGGAACATAGCTGGAAGCTTCATAGTGCACTGGTGTGCATTTGGATGGATTGGCTTTCCAGAATGCACTACCGGCTTCTGGAGGAGTCGGTCAATCAATGGAAGCTGGAGCTAGAAGAGCTTGAGAGGAACTTCATCGACCAGGCCACACAGGTGAGTGTGGAAACAAGCTACGTGAAGCGTGCTGCAGCCGCGGAAAGCTGAATATTTTCGCACACCTGTATCTTCTCATTTTATATTTAAAGCAGCTAGCTTCATAGCTTTCCCTGTGATCCGCCCTGATTGCATTAGCTGCAAAATTTTCAGACATAGTTGGACAAGGTGCATTGGCACAGCTGTGACAAAGAACACAGACTAAGAATGCGCCGCCGCGCTGCTGCCGCAGTGAAAAGGCTAGGCCAGTGCATGGGAAACGATAGCGAGTCTCCTTGGAGTTGGCAGCGTGAGGCAACTTATACCTGTGTCACACGGGCGCGCAAAAAGTCTTTTAAGTAAGCGGTCTTTTACGAAGTTGAAAGATTTTTAACAAAGAGGTGTTTGCGGCGCAGACACACGGCAGCAACGATCTCCTTTTAGTGTTTTCGTTCGAAGACGCTAGCGAAAGCGTGGCGCTAGCAGTTAAAAGAGAAGCAATGAAAATTAAACGATGTATCACGATGTACAAATTAAACACTTGTTGCACTGCTCGTTTCTTCAAATAAATTTAAGAATAAGAGATGAAGAAACACCAATGTGAAAGTTTTTTGCACTAGATAAGGAAGCATCCCCATAACTAGCGACGTGCACAAGTCCGTCTGGCACCACTGTGCTTTTATTTACTGTATTTGTTTTTCGCTGCTCTCGACTGCTCTCGAGTCTCGACACGTTATGGGCGATCGTACGGGAGAAAAAGCGAGGATCGCAAGTCTCACGGCCTGCCTTCTCGCTCTGGAAAGCGAGGCAGACGCTACAAAAGCCGCCAAGGAGAGGATAAAGCAGCGCAAGACCGAGCGTCACCACGTGATATTGCCGACGCGTTGTAGCTGCTTACGAGAGTAGAAAAGGAAATAACCATTAAAGGAGTTCATTACACCTTCTACAGGATATTAAATTTAATTTTACAAAGAGTTTTGGTGACAGAAAAATAAGCATTCGCTCTTTTTTTTCAAACACCACTCGAAAATTGCTCGCGCCCACTGGTTTCGAGGCTACTCATTCGGAGCCGTAAAAGAGATCGACGAACGCCGTTTACGAAAAAGACCGCTTCTGAAAAGGAGTTCGCTCTGTGCCGTGTGTCTGCTGTCAGGAACTCCTTTTCGGAAAAAGACCGCTTACTTAAAAGACTTTCAAGTGCCCGTGTGACAGGGGTATTACTTCTGCTGCGGTGGGTCCGCCGGAGACGACACCACAGTTTGTTTCCCATGAATCCCTCAGGGCGATTCGAACGTCAGAAACGCTGCATTTGCGGCACATTCTGTTTGTTATGTTGTTTATGTGTTGTATTGGCATTGTACATACAAGGTTTTTTAGCCTGTCGCTAGTGGTGTATACAACTCGGATGGTGATATCGTCGTTTTAAAAGCAGGTCAATAAATGTGAATGTTTTGGTTTGATCGATCGCGTCTGCTACATCTGCTTGTTCCGAGAGCGGGGATGCCAGAGATCCCACATGCTATGTTTGCTTTGTGCAGAGTAGCATAGATGTTTTTATATTTTTTTTTACTTTTTGTCCCATTTTTTTTAAATTTCGCAAATTTTTTATAATGGTGTATAATGTTTTATAGTGTCATGCGAGACAGCGTCTTATGAATGGGAAGGGACTACAAGTCGCGGAACACAACGCATGTTGTCCCTTATTTACACTTGTGTGCACACATTGTTCATAACGAGTGTTGGTCTAATTGCTTATTTCTAAAAACGTTACTGCCAATCATGCAGAGCTGTGTGTGATGTTCGTACAGTGCTGGGAAACAATAAACCTCACAACTCTAGTCATAGGCAATAGGCATGCGCAAGGTTCACCTTCGGAAGGAGTCATTGCAGCGCCTGCCCCCTATTAAATCAATCCAAGAGAGCACAGCTCAGCCCTCCCTCCTCTCCCATGCTTGCCGCTGTGACTGTAGTTGTGAGTGATATTTATGAAAACTTATGATAATTCAAACAAAATCCTGAGGCCCCTTACGTTTGAATAGTCTAGACAGTCTACTGTGAATGTAAAGAAACTAAAAAAGATGAAAAGACTGCTTGCCCAGCCGGTGGCAAGTTGTCTTTTTGTCCACTTCAATTTCCACATTTGTATTACATTTAATGTACTACAATTATATGACTGCAAATGAAGTCCTCTATACTTTCCTTAGCTTTATTGTTCGTTTGTTCGAATTAGCTTGTGTCTGGCAAAGAAACCCAGCTTCAATTCATTTGCCTTCTTTCAGCCTATATTATGTGCCCTGTTAACTGTGCTGAAAAAAAAATAGATTTAACAGTACTTTATGGCGTTACGGATGTATTTGTTCAACAGCCTACTGTGCACATGCATGTGTGTAGGTGAATGCTTGGGACCGTTCTCTGCTATCGAGCGCCGAGCGAGTGGGCCAGCTCAGCTCGTTGGTAGAGCATGCACAGCTGGACCAGCAGCGGCTGGAACACGAGCTGGACTACGTGGCTGCCCAGCAAGGGGAGCTCGAGAGGCTTCTGGCACCTCTCGAGGCTGCAATGAAGCAGGCACCTGCCCTGTCTGTACAGCAGCACGCTGACCTAGAGCGCGAACACACGTGAGTGTTGGGCTGGTTTTGTGCTATCACAGCCGGTGCACATGAAAGAAAGGCATGACCTGCCAAGTAGAACCACTGAACATAGAAATGTAGGGGGAAGAGTGTTGTTGGCAGCTGTCAAGGATTTGGAATTTTTGATAAACTTTTCTTTTTCAACATATTTCCAGATGTGTTTTCATGCTGGACATTCCTGGTAGCTATGATACACACCTGTCATGTTCTGTGCATAGAGTGTTTAAGCATTGTCTATGGTATTTGCTAGTGTTGCTGTTCACAATCCTTAAAGCCTGAAAGCCTCATACTGTGTTTTGATTCTACCGGGTGGTGGGAGGCATGGCCTGTTGGTATAAAGCAAACATAGGACTATCTCACTGTAATATGAGTGAGTCCCTTATGTACGCTCTCTACCCTCTGGTGTTAGGTACGCACAACTGCCATTTTTGGTTTCTACGGGATGCATGCATTTTCACGGGATCAGTTGTAGTCGTGGGCAGTCTATCTGAAAAAGTGGGTGGCAAACCAGAACAGTAGGTAGGTGGAAGTGCGAGCCACAATAGAGATAAACCTGGCACAGAGTCGTCCAGCTAAGTTAGATTCGACACAAAAGTGTTTAACAATGTAATAATGGTGTTATCTCTGTTGAACTCTACCATGACCTTCATTGTTCCATCCTACTATTAAAAACACAGAGGTGAACATTTGACTGTAGGTTTCTACTGTCTTTCTGAAAGTGTTGCCACAGTGAAAGCCATGTGAACTAGGCCTTCCTTACTGTTTTGGGCCCTCGAGTGCTCGCAATGCATTCTTCCTAAACAAATCTGTTGCAACAATGTTTCGGGTTGGGATGAGCATTTTGTTAGACTTTCCATGCTGTCATGTGTACTGCCCTGTCTCTGCATAATCTTGCAGTAATTACAGTGTTAAAGAACTTGTAACCTTTCAACTTTGCTGGCCCCTGTCATCATGTGTTGCCTGCTTCTGATACTTTTGGCCAAATACCGCAATTTCTGTTAGCATCAACATTCACTTTAACTGAATGTTCTACAGTACACAGCATGCTGCCTCGCTGTCTGTCGCAGGTACCACATGGCCGAGAACATCAACTCCCAGCTGAACTCCGTGTCTCGAGACATTAAGGACATCGTAGAGCAGCTGAATGCAGCCAATGCATTTACTGCGCAGGACAAACCGGTCGGTCCAGTTTTAGGTCTCGGATGTGATCGTGTTCACTCGTTCTAGTTTGAAGCTGTATTTGGTGGATTTTTGGTGTCTGCTATTCGTATAGTATTGTAGCTAATGCATCTTGAGTATTGGACTGGATAAGGCACCTTGTCCTGTTGTTACTTGTGACCTGTATTTTGTTCTACTCAGTGATGTTGAAATATCAATATTCTTTTTTTATACTTATATAGCGTAATCTCATTATTGCTCTTATTAAGGACAAGAGGAAAAAGGTGTATGATTTCAGGAAACGTTATGTGATGACTTCTCAAAAATGGTCAATACCACTAGTGCGCGAAACATGGAGGAACAGCAGGTGACAGGACAGAGTACTATCATGTCAACCAATTAGTTAATTAGCCGAATGGTAAAATAAGTACATTGATAATGTTAGTAGCGCCAGATGCAAATCGACCAAGAGCTTGGTTGATTTCATTATAAAATTTAACCGCACAAGGAAGTGTACAAGAGCAGTTGACATCTTAGATAGAATGCTAAGTACTTTTTGCTGATCATTGTCGTAACTTTCTGTGGGAACATGTCACACTTGACGTAAGTAGTACCGTGGCAGTGTTTAGGCTTAACAGCTTGAAAGAAAATGTAAAAAACATAAAGCTGGTAAAGGAAAGCATACAGGACTCTGAGGTGAGTGGTACTAATTCCAAGTGTAACAGCTGAAAAAAAAAATAATACTGAGCAAAAGCTTGTCGACATGGTTTTATCGTAAAGCACACTTTTATACAAACCAGATGTACTGGCGCAACAATTTCATACCCTTTGAAAAACCTGGACCGAAACCAGGTACAGATTAATGCTGGTGTGCTCCATCAACTTCTGAAAGACTGTGCTTTGTATGTCCCAACTGATTTACTATAGCTTGTGACGTGCCATCAACTTTTGTGCCTTTCCTCGCTTGCAGCTGCAGCAAATCTCAAAAGTGCTGAACTCTCACATGGACGCACTTATGTGGGTGCAGCACAACTCAGGTGAGACATGGAAGCATGGATGTCCCGTGTGTCACAACACGAAGCACAATTTTTTTTTTCCTATGCTTCAGTGCCATTGGTTTTAACGCTTACACTATTTTTCATGGCCAAAATGGGAAAGATTGTTTCTCGTTCGTGTGTAGTTGCACACACAGTTTGGCTTATTTGTGGAAAGTATGTTCTTTTGCATGAGTCTTCTGATGCATGGCACTGTTTTTTTTTCCACATCAGTCTTATTTATTGGCATTGCTTCAATGGAACACTGAAAAAATTAATGTGTTTTAGCATACGTGAAAGGGTTCTAGCGAAACCAGGGGAGAAAAACCCAATTCATGTGCTGTGATGGGAGCATCTTGATACGGGTGAAATCCAAAAAAGCCTTGTACTCAGTTACAGGAGCACTTTAAAGAACCCCAGAAAGTTTACTTTACTTTGCAGTCCCGTACTGAGGCATGCCTTAAGATCATATTGTAATTTTGGTGCACACAACTCCCTAATTTTTAATAATGCATACAAAGCTTATAAGAAAATTGCATTTGATGTGCTCGGGTGAATTGTGCAAAGCCTGGTTTAAGAGAAAACTAAATAGATCATACTGAATTTATTGTTTAACCATCTCTCTTCAGTAACATACTACATCTCAGTCACTCTGATTCAATCCTGGGTCTGCCACAAGCTTGACTACTGTGACAGGGCTGCTATACTGACTAGCAATGAGTTTTAAGATTCGAGATTTGGTTTATTGCATCGCATTAGTTCGCTTATAACAAACAAAAAATTACTGTGCCAATTATGGTGAGTATAGTTGCGTAAGAGCTACAATATCTACAACTCGACTCACCCCGTCGTGTTGGCTGCAACGGGCTGTACATAAAGAGCTTTGGTTGTAGGCATAAATTTGAACTTGCAATGCCAATTCCAGAAACATGAAAAGCACTCAAGATGCCGTATTTACAGGGGAAAACAGAATGTTCAAGGAAGCCATACTTGAAATTAAATTTTTAGGCATTGAGGTAAATTGCTGTCTCTCAGTTCGAGTTCGTTTAGAAGGGTGGGCAGCACTGTAGTTGCTGTGGCCTATGGGGGTTTCCTTGGGGGCCTGCACCTTTTCCCCGGAATTCTAATAGGGAGCAGTGTTTCACCTAAAATAGGTAATGAAAAGGTGTGTTTTTCTAAAATAGTCAAGGTCTTCAGCAAGTGGGCCTCTACCAGGGAAAATTCTGGCTACTGGCCTGCTTTGTACACAGCTCTAAAGTGCGTCTTACTGAATGTATCGATAGATTAAGAGTTGTCTTGAAGTTCATTTCAGAAATTAATTTTGGGGTGTTGATCGATGACTACTCCTCTTAACATGAGCACAGTGATCTTAAAGCTGTTCTTCATGCTGCAGGTGTGCTGCAGCAGAAGTTGCAAGAGTTGGAGCGTGCCTGCCAGCAGCAGAGAGCTGACCCGCTGCTGAAGCGCTGACACCCAGGCAACCCACTAGCCTCCTCATTTCTGTGTTAATAAACTGTTTTCATCATTGATGTCAGTGTGAGCTCTAACACACATTCAAGTTTATCGCACTTTGATGTAACACTGCAAAACATAGATACAGTAGTCATCATCAGCCTGACTACGCCCACTGCAGGGCAAAGGCCTTCCCCATGATCTGCCAACAAACCCTGTCTTGTACTTTCTACTGGCACATTATAGCTGCAAACGTTTTAGTCTCATCGGCCCACCTGACTTTGTCTCCCCTTCATCACTTTGCCTTCTCTGCGAATCCAGTCAGTTACCCTTAATGACCAGCAATTATCTTACCTACGTGCTACATGCCCGCTCATGTCCATTTCGTCTTCTTGATTTCAACCCGGGTTTGTTCCCTAATTCATTCGGCTCTCTTCTTGTCTCTTAAGGTTACACCTATCGTTTTGATTTCCATCGCGCGCTATGTTGTCCTCAATTTAAGCTCCACGCTCTTTGCAAGCCTCCAGGTTTCTGCTCTGTAGGTAACTACCGGCAAGGTGCAGTGTAGCTGTTATATAGGTACTTTCCGCTTGAGGGTTAGTCCAGGGGCTCTGGAAGTATATCTGAAGTGTGGGGGCAACGGTTTGTCAGCAGGATATATATATATATATATATATATATATATATATATATGACGTATGAAGCGATGGTTAAGAGAAGTAAATGAGGATGAAGTCAGAGAACGGAATAAACATGGCGTATGAGCCAGGCCACGTCGCCCATTCATCATAGCGTCACACGAGTCGACAGGATGGAGACCTGCCTGCCCCTTCATCAGTCACTCATCATCGACGCAGTTCCCCAGAAGACATCCTGACCATACATTGACTGCCGAATCATCGCCTAGAAGGACAACGCCCAGCACCATGACAGAACCATCGGCTGACCTCGACATCCCCAAGTACACCGGATCAGCGGACGACGGACCCGTACAGGACTGGTTCAACCTATTCGAGGTCCCCGCCGCCACTGCATCCTGGTCGGAACGGGAGATGATCACGAACTTCACTGACTACATCTCCGGTGAGGCATTTAAGTTTTACCTCATCCACATCTTTGAAAACGACGAGTCTTGGCAAAAGATCAAAGATGATATGATTACCCGTTTTAAAGACTATGACCAAGGCCTACTCATTGCCAATCATCTAGAGACAACCGCACACTATCGTCAATTTCCTAAGCAGTCCTCAACCATTCTAAAGCCCAGCGCGAATCGGCAACTTCCTCAAGACGAAGTGGCACATGAGTTTACTTACAGAAGGCCGTGCGTATATTGAGAAAAACCTAACCGTCAAGCGTGCCTCCCTTCTGCACGAAAGCTGGTATTTTCAAAGTCGTCGCTCCAGCACACGACACGAGACGTTGCTTACCCACCTCATGCACTTCATTTTTCGTCTCGAATACGTGGTCCACCACCCGGTTTTCCATCATGCGGCTCTTCAAGCGTTCCTGAAGCTCGCCGTTTGCCTCATAAGAACACCATGTTCACGATAAACGAGTTGACGCATCGGAAAAATACCCGGTCAGGCCATTCTTTTTCCGTACGGTTTCATGCATCACCGTCCGGCGCACACTCTCTCGAGAGTCCAAACAAAACAGAAGGCTCAGACGCATCGAAAATCGCACGTTACCAGGCGCAAGAACTACTCGCAGTGAACAGCGAAAAAGATGCCCCTGAAGAGCGTCGTGTCATTTCTACGGCACCACAGACTTGCCAAAATCTGCAGTTCAAACCTAGTAATGCCAAGTCACCTGTGCTGCCCACATGCAGAGCTCACCAATTCATGAATCGAACAAATTCAGAAGTGCATGATACATCAAACCTCGCACACAGTTGTCTTTCGGAAGCGCCTGTAATGAACCCCGTCACCGAAGCCTTTGAAGAGCATGCTAGAAATGATGACGCATTCCCAACTATGCCCGACAAGCAAGACACCAGTTCACCATTCATCAGCTGTCTACAGGACGCGTCAAACACCGAAGGAAATGAATGCCCCATTCCGGAATGGGTGCCACTACAGCCATCTCTTGAGCAGCCTCAGCAAAGCAAGCAAAGCCAAGTTCATAAACTCATGCTACATCGAGAGAGACTGAAACAAGGGCATCGACGAACGCAAAATTCAACGGAAGTGCACTCACCAATAAAAGAACATCGGAGAATAAGATCTCTAAACCAAAGACCAATTCAAGACGTCAGGCACTTTCGCACAAAGAAAAGTCGCCAGAAACACTCCCTGCACCTGCTATTACACCGAATGCACCACCACAGAAAACGCCGAGAAAGACGCAAAAGCATTGCTTGCACACCGCAAGCACTCGGGCACTTCCTCACAGTCTGTCAAAAAGCACGAAAGCAAGAAGCACCGGGATTGCTCCATTCACGACGAAAAATACAACCCCTACGACATCTGAGCTGCCGATGCAACAATGCGTTCCAACCTTGCTCAGTCCCCAAAACAGTTCAAGCAGTTTTGTCAGTGTTCAAGTGTAGCCCACTTTGTCCGGAACGCAACAGTCAAGCTCGTCCACCAGAGTCGTCATAAAAATCGCCGGACAGCTCCCTCGGCCTTGAAGATTTAGTGAGATTGTGGACCTTTGTCGGGACGTGAAACTGTGAATTTGGGCATTGTTTTGTTCATTAACTTCTTTAATTTGTTATAGTTTGTAACCAGTGCCATCTTTCGGGGGGAGGGGGAATCGTGTGACGCTATGATGAATGGGCAACATGGCCTGGCTCATACGCCATGTTTATTTCATCTCTGACTTCTTCCTCATCTACTTCTCCTAACCATCGCTTCATACGTCACATATATATATAGTATATATTATATATGTGTGTGTGTGTGTGTGTGTGTGTGTGTGTGTGTGTGTGTGTGTGTGTTTGTGTGTGTGTATGCAGCCGCAAAAAAGAAGACAAAGCTACAAAAAGCAGTTTTTTTTACTGAAGTTTTGGCTGGAGGGCCTGCCTTCCTCAGAATGAGTGTGTGTGTGTGCATATATATATATATATAAGTGACGGCCCCCACTGCCCCCCCCCCTCCCAGTTCTGGAGCCCCTGTTAGTAGCAGATTACCATTCATGATTTGAAAATGTTTGCTGAATGTGATCCACCCCATCCTTATTCTTCTAGTTATTTCACTCTCATAGTTCGGCTCTGTGGTTACTACCTTTCCTAAGTAGACATATTACTTTACAACTTCCAGCGTCTCCACCTATCACAAAGTGCGGTTTTCTGCCAAGACTGTTGCACATACTCAGTTTTGTGCATATCAATTTTCAGACCTACTCCTTTGCATTCCGTGCCCAGTTCAGTAATCATGCGCTGTAATTCATCCCCCTAGTTACTTATCAAGACAATATCATCAGCAAGTCGCAGGTTACTAAAGTAGTATACATGAAATCTTATCCCAAACTCTTCTCAACCTAGGGTTCTGAAAACCTCCTGTGTTAGCACACGATGAATGGCATTGAAAAGATCGTGTCTCCCTAGAGACACGATCTAGAATTCTAGAGAGCGGCAAAAGGCAAGAAACTTCCTACAAAAGTAATGAAGTGTTTGCATCACTCACCGCATAGCGTCAGCTTGATTGATAGACCCCAACCACTCTCGGCACCACACATATACACAACAATAAGTCTACGTGACATGTCCAGCTTGCTTCTAGGAGTCCTCATAGTCATACGCTTGGTGAACGCAACTGGTACGAGTCGACGGCTATGCTTTAGGATAAATATTTTAAATTTGCCTCTTTGTTTAGATAGTGTACAGTAATATTAGGTGCTGGAGGTAACGTAGCATAGGACTTTTAATTAACTATTAATAAAAATTATGTTATGTCGACTCTGCAGTCTAAAGTTGTCCATATTTGTGTGAACATCATGCAGATTTTTATAACTTAATTTTTGTAAAAGTTGATAGTATTACAACATGCCCAGGACATTTCAATTTTTTCTGTGCTTATTTTAATACTGAAAAATAAACCAATAGCATTATGGCACAGAATGGGCCCTTGTAAACATTCTCATGTCTAATTAATTGATAATAGATACAGTAGACTCCTATTAAGGGTAGACATGGCAAAGAAAGCTATCTTTATATATGGAGATAAAGTGATGAAATTTGACATGCAGATGTTATATATTATGCTGATATCACAACTGAATTTGTTTTTGAGTTACAACACTTGAAAGACTCTCATCGACATCCCAAAATTAATTAGACATAAGTTTGTCAATATTTTTGTATAAGGATATTCGCAAGGGCCTATTATGTGCGGTAATGCTATTTGTTTATTATTTAGTATTAAAATAAGCACAGGAAAAATTTTTAAGATGACCTGGGCATGTTGTCTTACTATCAGCTTTAACAAAAATCTGTTTTTAAAAATTTGTATGATGTGCACACAAATATGGAGAGCTTTTACAGCAGTGCCAATGTCTCAGGATCTAAGTGCAGAAAGCAGAATGGCTATATCCTTATTTGTTGTGAAATGGCTTAGGGATGCCCGACAGCAACTGCTAAAAAAAAATGAAAGCTGAGAAAATTGAGCTTGAAGAAATTGGAGCTAGAATCAGAAAAAAAGGAAACCCGGAAGGCAGCTGGTTTTATTTTTTGTTACAGAAATACAGCTTTATGGCTATCTTGAGCTCCCATCTGTCCCCTTTACGATGATGCCAATATTGTGGCTCTGTGCCAAAGGAAAGCTGCGAATTAGCATTTTTTCAAGCCTGATTTTACCATAGCTTTTGACGACAGCCCACCAGTAAAATGCCTTTTTTCTGAACTTCTACTACTTATCTTGGTCTACTGTTTCACCATGATATATATAAAACATGGTCTCAGAATGGCAGAAAAAAAAAAGGTAAATGGATAAATTGAACATTTTGACCAAATTTACATTTCCAGTTGCCAGGTCCCCCCTTAAACGCAATCTGAAAATACCAGTACAATATGTTACATTACGAGGAGCTCCATTTACAGAGAGTTGAATAGGAGAGCCAAACTGAGGCACAAGAC